GAGTGGCGGGCCGGGGCTGGCCGAGGGCACGACGGACAAGGCGCTGACGAGGTCCTGCAGGCCCTGCGTCCTGTCCGGCCTGTTATTACGTCTGATGCAACGGCCCGGGAAGGAGGGAGGAGAGGAACGCACACACTCACACACACACACATCACACACACACAGCAGAGTCCAATCTCTGCCATCTTTCACCGAGTCTCTCAGACTCACCATGATCCATTGTGCTGGACGGCGGCCTCCCCCTCCCCCGCGAGGACCTCGCCGACGAGCGGCGCGCCGGCGTTACCGCTCCACATTGCGATTGAATGGCATTCCCCGAGCGCCTGCAGCGGCCCGCGCCGGGGGTCCTTGAGCGATAATAGTTGAGGAATCCTCTTGTTTCGACGACCGGATTATATCGATTCACAACCATCAGCTGATTCACATTTGCTTCGACAAAACCACTTTCGACTGAACGTGAACTTGCTGATGTCTTTCCCTACAAAGAGACTGCATTCAGAAACTACGCCGTCAGTCGCCGCTGAGAAACTGCCAAGTTCAGCCTTGGAAAGCCCCCATAGCGCCTGACAGGTAGGCAACATCTTACATGCAGTGCATGCGTGCACGGCTGGGTGGCCTACCCCGAGTCTTGCAGGCGCTGAGCCCCCGCAATTTCCCAAACGAATACGAGAAAAACGGCCGTACTCTCTGGTATTTTTGGACGGGAGCACAAGACACACTATTTATTATCCCAATATATGTAAGCTCAACTTTGATCGTGAGCACATATCCGCCGCTATAAATACGCCAGGAATCGAAAGTAGTTAATGGTTTTTGAGTGGGCGGTGGAGCAAAATCAAACGGCATCGGTAATACTCGTCTTCCTGGCGCACCATGCAGTTAGATAGGATAGAGATCTCCTGGTCGTCGCCGACGCGGTGCTGGGGCCGCGGAGGGGCCGGCCCCGCGGAAGCCGATAACAGAGGAGGGATGATGGCCCCCGGCCGCGGCCGACTGGTCAGCAGCGCCCGGCGGGGCGAGGAGGGGCGCGCCAAGAAGCGAAAGTCAACCTCCCGGAAAAAGGATTGGTTCAACGAACCAAACAAACTATAAGCCAGATAACGCGCGCCTGGCCACTTGGCCCGGGGCGGACACCCTGAGGAGGATCTGGCACCGGCCGCGGCAGCGCGCGCCAGCGCCGCAGGCAAGGCAACCGCGCCAGGCAACCCGAAGGCAACGCACAAGGCAACGCACAAGGCAACCGCGGGGCAAGGAAGCCGCATCGACAGGCGTTTGTTATATCACGCGGTTCGCGGCGGCGGCGCCTGGTCCCAGTCCCGGGCGACGGGCCTGATATTGTGTTTGGCCGGGTGCCACCGCGTCGCTCTGAGCAAACTAATTACTGACCACGGACCCGTTAGTCCTGCGCACGGCAGGGGGCCGGGCCCCGGGCCGGGCCGGCAACTGTTACACGGCTACCCGTAACCTAGACTGGAAGGGGCGGGGCTGACGGGGACCGGCCGCGCCGATATCCTGGAACCATTTCGGACAAAATTAGCGGGCCTCCGCACTCTCCGCCGCTCGGCGATCGGAGTGAAGCAGAAGCACCGTCAGCTTTCTCCAACGTCTAGGGGGTCGTTCATCGGCCGCGAGCGGGAGAGCGAACACTTCTGTTCGGCTCCAGTCGAGCGAGGGAGAGAGGGAGATTGGAAATATTTAAGTTTCGAGACCGCAGAGAGACCTTGAGCACGGCCGTGCCTACCGTACACGACACGACGCCTTGAACGGAGGCGAAGAGGGTGGCCGTCGACCGTCAGAGAACCGCGACCGCGCGCACACCGCGGCCTGCGACCCGATCGCTGCAGTTTGTCTCCAGTTTCGCAGACGTCATAGCCGCGAATAGTCAAGTAACACAAAAGTCGGCACCGCAGCACTCTCCACGGTCAGTGGCAGCAGCAGGTGGATGAGTAAATCTGAGGGCATCTGTTGCGCATCCATCGAGGGCACCGCCTACGTCGGATAGGAAAGCGTACTGAGACAACTGCCGGCAGGCGGTGCTAGGCGGTCGCGACAAGTTCGCGCTTCCAATGCTCTCAAATCGTTTCCCGCGCGAGCCGTGGCGGGCCGCGTGGGAGGCGGCGGCAAGGTGAGGTGTTTTGTTTCAGGCGGGCGGCAGCAGAGCAGCGGCAGCAGCTGGGGTTAACGTTCGTGCTGTAATCGTGTGACGGCCCCACCACCTCGCCCCTCTGCTGCGCGACGCTCCGCGCCGGGACGCCGCCGCGCCACGCCCCGCGACGCCTCCCTTTTCCCGGCGCGCGGGGCTCCTTGAAGAGCCTCTTCTTGCTGCCGCCCTCCTGCCGCCGCCCCGCCGCGGCGCCGTGCGCCTCTCACGCATTGCATTCTCCTTGACGCTTTCTAATTTGAGGCATTACAGTCTGGAAGGAGGAGGGAGGTGGCGGTGGAGGAGGAGGAGGAGGCTGTGCCCGGCTGTACCACCAGAGTGTGAGCGTATCTTTGTTCGTTCTGGACTTGGCTGCCCTTGCGTGGCACGCGTGAGGCGAAGGGAGGGCGCGGCGCAGGGCCTTCAGGAGGGAGAGGAAGGCGGGGGGCCGGCTGGCCAGGATAAGCAAACGCCCGCCGCCGTGCCCCCTGGGCCATTGTCCGCTCGGGATGGCTCGCGTTGGTCGGTTGGCCCGTGGGCCTCGTTGGAGTTGCCTAACAACACATGATGCGCTGCCGCCCATCGCTGTTCCCACATCACCGCTAAAACACGTTGGCTTTTGTCAAAGGCAGTCGAAGGGGCCAGGCGTCCTTGCCTTCTCGGACGCACTTTCCGAACGGCAGTTTTGATTTTACAAGTTCGACTCGACGTTCCATCCTACTTCGTGCGGCACCAGGACACCGCTGCTGCGGCCCTCTTCTGCCAAACGCCTTTGCTGCGGGTCGTTACGTCGACAATCGAACAGCAAGAGGTCACGATGACAAAAACGCGAAAGATATAGTCGCTCCTGGCGAAATAACACGACGACGCGGCGGCGCATACTTTTGTCCTCGACTGTTCCATACGTTTATGGTAAGACTTTACTGGCGTTTTGACCGACTTTTGCCACAATGTGTCGCCTCCTGCACGAGGAGCGTCCGCGCGCTAGATTATTCCCACAGAGTGCAGCGCGAGGAGGTTTACGGCGCGCCGCGTGTCACTTCTTTCACTTTAATATTCCGCTTCGAAGGCGGAGCAGCGGAGAGGAGAGTGTGTGTCCCCGTGGCTGTCGTCGCGGACACGACGACATGCCCGGTGCACTTAACCCCCCCCCCCCTCCTACTGCAGCAGCAGCACAGCTTCCGGCCAACCGGAAGTGGCCCATGCGACACTGCTGCTGCGCACGCGCGCGTCCAGCGCGGCGGAGGGGCCCGCACTGCTAAAATTTAAACGTGCCGTGTCTCCTCTCCCTGGCATAGCGGCGGTCACCCATGCTCTATACTCGCGGTGCTCACAGCCGCTCCCTCATTAGCGGGCAAGTGCAGCGGGAGGTGACGCGCCCCAATGCGGCCGCTGCGCCTCGGGCTGCAACGCCGTTTACCCCCGCGTCCTCTTGCCGTGTGGTGCCGCTGGCCTGCCGGCCGCGACGACGCACTTGCTTTGGCCTCGATCCGCGCGCGCGCGCGTGCGCACGAGTACTCCGCGGCCGCGGCTCCGGCCGCGCACCGTTGCGGTTTAGGCCCGATTGTCATCTGCATTGCGGTCCTAAATGACAATTATCGACGCCAGCCATAGGGGTACGCGCGCGGGGTGCTGATCGCCGGGGGGTGCACTGATTGTGCGGCTGAGCACCACACGCGGTGGCGACGCGATGCCCCCCAGCAGACTGCACCCAGGAGCCCCCCCGCCCCCTCCCCCCTCTAGTTTGGCCCGTGCCGAGTACGGTAGCCTAGCCCCCCACGGCCCCCCGCGGCCCCCACCTCCTCTCCTGCCCGAGCCCGTCCCCTCTCTCGCTCGCGGCCGGCCGTCCAGGACTCAGTCCAGGCCCGGCCGCCGCCCCGCTCGCACGCCACTATATCCGCCGCCTGGTTGTCGCTCGCGCGCGCCGACCACACCCGCACCGTCACCTCGTAGCGCGAACCCGCGAGTGATACACACCACCAGTGCTTCGTCACCTTCTCTGGAATACACATCAGTGTGTGTGTGTGTGTGCATTGTGTTGTGATGTGAGGACTCAAGTGAGGCGTGTGTGTGTGTTTGTGTCGCCGTCAGCAACAGCAGAGCATTCACAACAACACCACTACTACTACTGTACATCCACCTGTTGTATAGAGCCTTACGCACCCCAAACTCAGCGCGAGCACATCTGTACAACCAAACTCGCGCCCCGTCTTCCTGCGAGGGGGTTATTGGTTATTGGAACAAGTGTCGTCCGGTGAAGTACATTTCCCAGTGTACTCCCCTCCCCGCCTCTCCCCCGCCCCCCGGTCAGGGACACGCGATACCGCTGACGTGACACGGGGCAGCTCTGCTCCGCTCGGACGCGAACGGTTCTCACAACGACCGACGAACGGACGGACGGACGAACAGGCAGACGGGTAGACCAAATAGGCGAGAGAAAAGTTGTCGCCAAACACGGGCAAAATAACCTGTCAAAACAGCCGTTTAAAGTGGTGGCTGCTTGTCCCTTTGCTTCGTGCAGCAATTGTGTGATTGCGGCCGTCAAGGCGGAAACAGTAGGTAGGCGCGTATAGCAACAGTTTTACGCCAATTGCGAGACATTCCTGTCGCTCCTGCTGCAGCAGCACCTGTGCAACACGCGCACCTGTAGGCCGCGGGCCAGCAGGAGGGCGTGGCGGGGCGGGGCCCGCAGGTCGCATATTACTCTACGGAGACTCCATGCGGTCGTCTCTGGACTAACTGTGTCGAGGCCAACGCAGTGGACAAGACATAGTGGACGGGGCCCGGTCTGTGGTGCCAGGTGCGGGGGAGCCCGGGGGGGGGGGGGCTACCAGACCACACGTGTCAATGGTTTTGGTTAGTTGTCTTTAGTGCTCGCCTACGACCACCTGCCCCGCGGGCATGGTGGGGCGTGGAGTGGCGGGGTACAGTGAAAGGCCGCAGTAGTAGCAGTAGTGGGCCACATGACACTGCCACGCTATTCGAGCTGCTAGAGTGCGTAATAGGAGAGCGTGCTGCCGGACTGTAGTAGAAAACAACACAGAGAGTGATCGTTTCTTTTCAAAGAAACGTAAAATCAACCAGGCACTGGGCACTCTCGGGGCGAACGCCACTGGTCAGTTGCGCCCTGCTGATTCTCGTGATTGAATGAGCCTGAATGTATTTTGAAGCCCAAAAGATGAGACGAGAGGCGACAAGGCACAGGACAACAGAGCACGTGACCAGTGCAACTGGGGCAATGACCGGGGCGCCCAGTACCTAATCAGGATGAGCGCCCACTTTAAACTTCCAGACCTACCCAAGGGGATTGGCTTGCGGTGATCGCGCACCTCATCGACCGCAACCGCCAGTGCAGGACGGCCTCCTTTGCGAGCTGCTCGGTGGCGGCGCGGGCCGGTGACCCCCCGGCCCTTGGGGGGGGAGGGGAGGGCGAGAGGGGTGTCGTCCACCTGGCACGACCACTATCGGGCCAGGAGGCACGCGGACGTCGTTCATCTCGCCCGGGTCCTGGCTGGAGTCATCTAGTGCCCCGCCACGCCACGCCCCGCGAGCACGAGACGTAACCGAGTTGTTCTGGGCCGAGGCTCTGCTGTGGCCCTGCAGCAGCACAGCGCGGCACACGGATGCACAGCCGGTTTGGCGCCACACGGTGTTTGGTAACAACAACAACAGAGCAGGCGGGCCTCGTCGTAGAGACGTCTGCTGCTGCCGTCCGCGACCTGCCCCGCTCACTATGTTCCCACGCGTCCCCGCCCTCTGGTCAGCAGAGGTGCGGTGGGTGTGGCGGCGGGCGCAGGGCGCAGTCCAGTCCCCGCCCAAGGAAGCTCTCCTGCTCGCGCGTTATCTCGTGTATTGGTCGGGCGTACACCACGCGGGCGCCTCACAGATAAAACCCGATATGAAACTCGCCTGAGGTCGCGGCCGCGGCGACGCCGCGCCTGCCTGACCTCACCGTTACGATCACCGCTTGAGCCGATGGAATTAATTTTCATTGGCCGCAGCGGCTGGCCCCGTCCTGCGCAGTGCAGCCAGCCGCGCCGCGCCGCGCCGCGCGTCCTTTTGCGGTTCTAATTGCCGTTTTATAATCTACAAACCGACCGTCTGGTCCGTTGGCGCTCTTTGACCGCGCTGGGCCCCTGCCCGCCCCGCCCCTCTCCACTGCTGCTCCTCGCCAATCTCCCGCGCCGACAGCAGCCGAGGCGGGGCGGCGCGCGCCAGACCCAGAGACCGCTGACCCCACGCCGCCCGCCGCACCGCGACCAGCCGATAGCTATTATTATACTTTTGCTTTTTCGGGGTTCAGACTGGCATCGATTTGTCATGTATTGGATACGTTCTAGTTGATTTTCTAGACCTCTGCTAATTCGCTAATTTCCGACTGATTTCCAACCGAAACGTATTCAACAAACGCCAATCGTAAACTCTGCAGATATGTTATCTCGCGATTTTTTGAGGGAGTCTCCACTCGCCGTAAACCTTGCCTGATCTACCCAGAGACCGCTTTACCCACCGCTCCGCGACGAGCCCATAGTATTCTACTTTTACTTTTTCACGCGTCGATATGTTATCTCGCGGACTTTTGAGGAAGTCTCCGCCGCTCGCCATAAGCCCTACCTGTCCTACACGCGACTAGTTATTCCTGACGAGGTTTCTCTTCTACCCGGGCGTGGTGTGGCGGGGCGGGGGGCCGCTCTATACTCACAGCACTAGGCGGGCCCAGGCCACTTCCTCGCTAAATAGGGTGTCTCGCTCGCCGCCGCGGCCACGCCCCGGCCGTGTTCAGTTAGGAAAGGGAGATGATGACGGGTCTGGACGAGCACGTTGTGGTCTCGGGAGCGTGCGCGCGCGGGGCACGGCACGGAGACCTGAACGCCTGGCAGAGGGCGAAGTAGGCAACCAGGAGGCCGCTGGGTGCAGCGGGCCGGCCCACCCCGCGCCGTGCACCTTCCAGCAAGCCGAGCAGCCTGTGGGGTTGTAGGGTGCTGGCTGGTGGGTGCCGCGGCACTGACACTTGCAGGGAAGGACTGTCCAAAATGTAGTCAGTTTTTCTTAGATTTGTTCGGTCAATTACGGTATCTTAACGCCTGCGAGACTCGGGGTAGGCCACCCCGCAGTACACGCATGCACTGCAGGCACGACTTTGCCTACCCACCAGGCGCTACGACAGAGCTGGCCGAGGTTGAAATTTGGCAGGTTTGTTCGTAACGGCGACTGACGGGCGTACTTTCTGGATTATACCCTCGGAGTGGGTTTCTGGTGGGAGCAGCTGCACTTGGCAGGGCGCGGTAACGAGCTCGGGGCGCGGCCGGCGCGGGGACAGCAGCGCGGTGCAGCAGCGTGTCGTTCCGCGTGCCGTGCGCCCGCGTGCTCGCGTGCGCGCAGCCGCACCCGTGCAGTGCGCAGTGCAGCACGGGGAGGCGCTCCACCAAAAGAAAGTTGTGGCGGCGGCGTGCGGCACGTCAAGGAGGTCGTCGACGGCGACGGCCGCCCCGCCGCCGGAGGGGGCGTTCGGTCGGCAGTGGCGCCCGGCGGCATGCGCACCTCACCATGGATGGATAGCAGGTCGTTAGGATAGCGGGAAGCTCCCCGAAGGGGGACGGCGGGGGCGTGGCGGGTCACAGCCCGGCGACACCCCTGCGCTAACTGTTCTGTGCCCCAGCAGAGTGCAGCGAGCGCCGCCACACCCAAACGGCGGCGTGGAAGGGGGAAGACGCACCTAGCTCCAAAGTTAAGCAGCGGCATCGCCTCTCCGCCGGTGACGACGAGAAGGCAAAGCGAGCGTGTGGGCGAGGTGGTACGACCACGCACATGACCATACGATCGGTCGCCGGCCCGCGACCTTCGGCAGCCCCCCACGCCGCCGGCCCGCCGCACAGCTTCTTCCTGCCGCCCATCAGCACACCTCGCCTGCCTGCCTTCCACATTGCTGGCTGCGATCCGCTCATTCTTTCCATTCATTCCGTTCATTGTGCGATCGCATCACGCGTTGGCGCCGCGCCGCCGAGCGGCAGGTGCGGCCGGTGGGCTGTACAGCTGCTGCAGCTGCAGCGCGGGGCGTCGCGAGGGAGGCCAAGCACGGCCAGCAGCTGACCGAAGGCCACGCCGCGACTAACAGGTTTCATTCCTAAATAACACACGCATACATGCCGCCGTATCGATCGATATTCTCGATAATAACGTCGATAATATCGCTCCCCGCTGCCGCTCGTTCGTACCGATCTCGTCGATTAAGAGCCGGGGCCGCGGCCGCCCCACGGCTCTGTGTGGGTCGCCGTGCCGCCGCCGCGCCCGGCCCCGCCGCGACCTGCCCTAATCTCCGCAGCTATCGATGATGTCGATCGCCGAGGTGTCGACACACTCGTGTGCGCGCCTTGTACGGCCAATCCATCATGCGACCTGTTCCAAGGCGCGGGCCCTCCTCGCCCTCTCGCGCGCGCGTCTGTGTGTGAGTGGGAGTCTGCATGAGTCTGCACGTGTGTGTGTGTGAGAGAGTGGTAATGTAAGCGCAGCTAGAGAGGCGGGTGCGATGATGAGCCAACTGCAAATAACGGCCGTCCCCGACATTGGCTATTTGCAGCCCGAGCGCCTCGATAACCTTCTATAAACGAACATAAACGAACATGGCCCCCGCGCTGATGGGCCCGGTATTGTTGGACGTCATCGTGATCCTCACAGCCGCCCCTTCAGTCCATCAGACACAACTAATAATGACGGCCCACGCCGATGGCGAGCTATCCCGTCAGGTGGTGGTCAGCTACGGAAAAACTCATAAAACGATGGAAACTTTTTATTTTTCCGATCGCGCTGCTCTTAAGTGAGCTTTTGAGCAAAACTAAATGCACCACCCTCCTCGACGGTAAGCCCGTCTTCTCTGGAGTGGACGCGCGCCTGCTACTGACGTAATCGTCGTCATAATACAAATACTACTTTCGTGGTGGAGCCGCTGACCGCTTGTCCACACATCCTCTGCTGCATCTCGCGCTGTTGGAGCCCATTTCCATTTTTCTTTCCCATGACGCCCAGCAGCAGCCCCGAGCTGGAGGACGTCACCGGCGCGGCCGCCTGCCTGCCTGCCTGCCGCCGGGCAGCGCACTTGTCCGCCGCTGCTTTCGTTAGGGAATATCTTTGCGGAAGATTCAGAGACGGCTCGCCTCGGCCGGCTCGGTAGGAGAAGGCTGGCGCGCTGTTTGGCTCGGATGGATGGGAAGCAGGCGGCGAGTTTCACCTTCGCGAGGGGCGTTCCAAAGCCTGGCCGGGCCGGGCCGGCCCCGCGCAGGCGGGCAGAGCAAAGCCTACGCACGGGTCGGGCCGGACCGGGCCGCGGGCCGGGCCGAGGAATTACCGCGACAGAGTAGTTGTGTGGACAGGTGCAGCCCAGTATTTATCGCCTCGTCAGCCGGGACGGGAGGGCCGGTAGGGCCGGTGTTTACTGCCCCTGCCCGATCGGCGGCGCCGTCCACTCACCCGTCACACCGTCACACGCCTCCATAAGTGTCACCGTCCTCTCACACCGGCCGGCCGACCGGCCATCCCGTGCCGCGGCCGCAACGCCGCCGCCGGGGCGTGCCGGGGCACCATGACCTTGGCGTGCAACAGGTGGTGCGGTGCGGTGCAAGAGCGGCACGACGGCACGACCGCCAAAATTAGAGTCGCGGCCCGCGAGAGAGCACGCCGCGGCGAGAGAGCACGCCGCGGAGCGCGAGGACAAAGTCGCAGTGTCATTATTAACGTGGCGTCATGTGCCTGCGGCGGAGGGGACGCGCTGCGCCCGCCCGCCCGGAGGGACTCGAACATGTGTGTGAGCAAGGGGTGAGGGCCCCAGGGAAGTACCCCCCCCCCCCTCCAACTAGACACCTGCACCCTACACAACACGGAGCTGCTCTGGTTGCTGACGGCGATGCTGACGCCGCCCCCACGGCCGGCTGCCCGGCGCCCTCACTCAAGCAACACGACACTGGGGTGCTTTTGCAGCCTGCGCCGCCGCCTCCACCTCCCCATGCCCCAGAGCGGAGGGAACACGCGACCAACATGAAGAGGGCCAGCAGCTTGGCGCACAGCCTGGCGCCCTCGCGCAGCCCCTCCGTCATGTCCTTCCTGTCGAGCCGGACGTCCAGGTCCACGTCGGCGACCGCGCCGGGCCCGTCCCCGGGCCAGGGGGCGACGACGGCCGCGTCCAGGAGGCCCCCGACCGTGAGCACGGGCCTGGGCCAGCGGGCCGGGCTCCGGCGGACACTCCGCATCAGCAAGCGCCTCACCCGCCGCCGGCAGCCCCTGCCCAAGGTCCGGACCACAGGCCGCCCCCGCGCCAGGGGAGCATCCTCGCCCCCCCCCCTTTCCCCCTTTTTCCACCTCCACCAAACACCCTTTACTTACACGCCGTTGTCTGTCTGTTCCAGGGGCAGAATGGATTCGAGGAGCTGCGTCGCTACGTCAAGCAGGGCGGTGACTTCTGTAAGGACCTCACCAGCATTCTCCAGGAAAGGTAAGAAAAGGCTGGAAAAAATTATCAGTAAAAATGATAAGTACGTGAAATCAGCGTTTGAGGTAAATTATGCAACCTACATAATGACATTTTCAGATCTGAAGCTGAGCAGGTGTATGCAAAAAGTTTGGCAAAACTCTCTGCAAAACTATTGAAAGCGAGTAAGGATGCAGTTGGAACAGTGGGTCAAGCTTGGCAGAGAGTGGGAACTGAAATGGAGTGCCAAGGAGAAATTCACAGGTAAGAGAAAAGCCTACAGAAAATTGGACAGGAAAATAATCTCTAGTGTATTAGAAGGGATAATTTTTGTATCAATCCGTTTCAGGACATTTTCTGTGGCTTTAAGTGAAGAGGTTGTTAAACCACTCAAACAGCTGGTTGATTCACAACATCGGATAAGAAAATCAGTAAGTAAAGGAATATATAATTTTCAGAGCATATCTGTTATTAGTAGATACTTGAATTGACTAAACCTACGTACCATTTTTTTTTCTAGGTGGAGTCCAGTGTAGACAAGACAGCAAAAAGTCTCTCAGAATGGCGACAAGCAGAGGCTAAGAGTAAGAAATCATCATTCATGTGTGCCAGAGATAATGAAAAGTTGCAGGATGCTATGGTTGAGGGCCGCCAATCAACCCGAGGCTCTTCATTGCATCTACACCATGCTGTGCACAACAAAATGTCGGATAAAGATGTAGCAAAGGTATGACCTAAATGAAAAAGCTGAGACAACTTTAATTTTCTATTGTCCACTTTTGCCACGCAAATATAAAAACAATTCTCTTTTCTATTCAATCTCACAGCTTGAGACAAAAAGACGGAAGGCTGAGGATTCAGTAAAAAAAGCTGATGTGGAATATTACACATTCTGTATACGAGCTGAAAGAGCCAGGTATAT